ATTATCATTAAGACAGTTGTTCGATCTGATTTCTGAATAAAATGGGCTTACTCAAATATAACAATTTACTCCACTAGAAAGAAAATATATTATTTCAAAAAATTTTCACATTCTTGGATGTTTCCGAGCCACATCGTTATACATATGCACTAAAGAAGTAACCTAGTGGTAGCGGCAGGGTCAAATTTGGTTCAGACTTTACAAACTATGGGTGGGAAAATTTTACCTGAGAGACTCAACAGGTGATCAAAGCTTGCTTAATCCAGAGTTATCATAACCCAGGAAAAAACAGATTATTTTTTAGAAAATTTCACTTTACAGTTAAAATATGCAAAGAAATATTTAAAGAAATGTGTCACTGACATATTATTTCCGAAACTCTAAGAGCATAAAATGAGCTAATGGTATTTTATAACCAAACCTATCCTGGTTTTACATTTTAATGGGACCTGTCCAAGCCCTCATAAATTCTCACTGTACAAAATGGTTACATAAAGCCCCTCGAGTCTCGTCTTGACTGTTCCTCTGACAGATGCCACTTGGAACATCCTGGTCTTGTCAGATATGATCAGGTTGACATGTGGTCATAGGTCCAACAGATGTGAGCTAAAATTCCCTAAGGTACATGACTGAATTCACCACCACATGACACAGATTTAGAAGACCAAATATATTCAGGCTCCGATGAAAGTCAGTCTTAAAACTATATGGAAAGTTTTAAGTACTTCTAAGTACTCTTAACTACAAAAAAAAATTATTTAATTCCAAGACATACGTCATAGACGCATTCTTGCTGGTAAACACACTTAGGATCCTCCATCTGGATCCCACGACCTAGACCATTGGATACCTGACTGAAGGAGCTCCAAAAGGCCTCAGGAAGCTGACAACTTCTGGAGGTCATCAGCTTCTCCCCAAGCCTCGATGGATAGAAAAGATGACATCAAATGTAGACAGTTTCCTTTCAATACCTTTGGATGAACACCAATGACAGGGTCAAAAGTCTTGTCATTGGACTTAAGATTTATTGTTTGTCTCTTTCTTCTTTATTTCTTTCCCTTTGTGCTAATCTCTTTTCCTCTCTTCTCAACTATTTACTTTTCTGTAAAATTCTCTGACTTAAATTTGCTTTTCTCAAATATCAGTGATCACCAAACTTTCTAAATATTAAATTTGATATACACCTTCAACACTCATTAAAATACATATTTTTTAACTGTGGCACATCTATATGCTTAAATGGGATTCTAGGCCCCAACCAATTAGCTGCTGTTACTGATATTTTTTACATCCTCAAAGGGACCCATGGTTATCAGAAAATCAGGAGACATGTGACTAATGATACAAATTGTCCAATTGTTTTCTCATAAAGGTATGCAGGAATCATTGCATGACTTTTAACTCTCCCCAGGAATTTTCCCTCCACAGTTAAACCAATGAAGATCAGACTGTTATTAGGACCTATTAAACAGCACCTCATCAAACAGCACCTCATTAAACAGCACCTCAATGAGTATCCTTGAATTCATTCTCCTTGAAAAAGAAAGTCTTGTCCTTACCATACCAAACTGTGATCTGATCTTGAACACAGTAATCTAGTCTTTTCTAGTATTCAAAACCATCCTTTTTTTAAAAATTTAAACTCTTTATTGCTGAAAGTATTACATATGTCTTCCTCCTCTACCCTCCCCTGCCTTGTCTCTGAGGTTTGATGGTCTATGCGACATTTCTATGTCTCTGGGTCTATTTTTGTTCATCAGTTTATGTAGTTCAAATGAGTGAGATCATGTGATACTTATCCTTTTCTGACTGGCTTATTTCGCTTAGCATAATGCTCTCCAGGTCCATCCATGCTATTGGGAATAGTAAGATTTCTTTCTTTTTTACAGAAGCATAGCATTCCATTGTGTAGATGTACCACTGTTGTTTTTTAATCCACTCATCTGCTAATGGGCACTTAGGCTGTTTCCAATTCTTAGCTATTGTAAATTGTGCTGCTGTGAAGATAGGGATGCATATATTCTTTCTGTTCTTGGGATATATTCCTAGAAGTGGGATTACTGGAGTTCCATTTTTAATTTTTTGAGCCATCATTTTATTTTCTCACATTTTATTGAGAGCTTTGTAGAGTAACTGACCAAGAGTTGTCCAATATAGTAAATTTCATTGGCTTATATAAGGATTCCTGAACTATAATGTATGATGTATAATTTATCTCTGACAATGGCCATAATATAAAATAAAACAAAAATTTGAGTTGCTCAAGAAACTAGTATAGCTTGGCTGGTGTGGCTCAGTGGTTGAACAATCGAACTATGAACCAGGAGGTCACAGTTTGATTGCTGTCTGCTCACATGCCCAGGTTATGAGTTCAATCCCCAGTAGGAGGCGTTCAGGAGGCAGCCAATCAATGATTCTCTCATCATTGATGTTTTTCTCTCTCCCTCTTCTCTCTGAAATCAATTATATATATCTGAACATCCAATGTGAACTTGTGGTGGTGTCTGCTTATTTGTCATTCAGAATAGACAAAAATACATTTCTTTTTTCTCCTGTTATTCAGTGAGAGTAGCCAAAAAGAACCTGACCAAGAGTTATGGGTTGAAACTGATTTAGCTACTAACTTCTTGTGTGAACCCAATTCCAATATTTAACTTCTTTCAAACTGTATTTCTTCATCTGTTAGATAAGGGCCATATTTGTCTGTGTCTCACAGAGTTGTTCTGAAAGACTAAATAATATAGAAAGGCATATATAATGTAAAGTACTCTGTAGCAAAAGTTCTTGAGAACCCCTTCAGTCACGGAATGCATTTTAAATGGTATTTATGTTGTGAGACATTTGCCATCACTGAAAAGCTCTCTATGGTGCAGTTGTACAGGTGACAAGGTCATTGCTTTGCAAAAAAAAATATGTTCAAGGCAAAGAGTCCTCTGCATAAAGTATTTCTGAGAGGGAAGCCATTGTTTAACTACAATTTCTGAGAATTTCCAAAAGTGGGAGATCAGCATGCTGGGATCGTTAAAAGTTACATCTGGCTCAGGCCAACAGCTTACCTGTTCGCTTTTATTTCCATTCCGGGCTCAGAGCAGGCAGTATATTTGCTGTTGATGCCTGTGTTGCTGTGGATATATATTGCTCAATGATTGGCTCAGCTTCCTGCAAATGGAGAGGAAGCATCATCATATGGAAAGCATTTCTTACAAACTAGGTTAAAAAGTTGAATTAATCAATAAATGTCAGGGAAAATATAAATAAGATGTATGCACAGGATATATGACATTTGTAAAGACTCCAAAATGTTTCAAATATTCCCTGCATGTTTTCTTCTTACTTATTACCACTATGCAGCACAGTTTGATGTTTGATAAATGCAAATCTAATTAAGAAAAAGAAACCATTTTATTATCTGTGAGTGAAGACGGGGAAGCCACGTGGCAGTCTCTGTGTTTTCCAGTCTCAGATAAACATGAGAATCAGAGAACCAGGAGTGTCAGGGAGACATTCAGAAGGCAGACACTTGGGTTTTCTATTTTGTTAGATTTTGCAAAGCTGGATATTCTGTTCTTGCCTCAAGTGGGCTAATGTTGGAGCTCTCTCAGATCAACAGAAAGCGTCTCTTTGCTTGGCTGAGCTCTTCTTTGCTTAAGATACTCTATTCTCCTCTGAGGAAGATAGAAAAGAACTATCTACCATCACCTCTTGACTACAGTTGAAATATACAACACTGCTGTATATTCACACGTAAATATGTAACCTAATCAGCACCTTTGTGAGAAGGAATGTGGAAAGATACCTCCTCTGGCCCTGGCCAGTGCAGCTCAGTTGGTTGAGTGTTGTCCTATATACCCAAAGGTCGCTGGTTCAATTCCTGGTCCACATCAGTGTTTCTCTCCCTTCCTCTCTCTCTAAAAATCAATAAAATATATGTTTGTTTGTTTTTTAAAAAAGATACCTCCTCCGAATGGGTGCAAGTCTGGCAGCAAAAGATGCTTTAGTATGAAAAAAAGATGCTCCTCTTCCTGGCTTCAGCCCGAGCCAGACCAGAGCGGTTTGGCAAGCCCTCACTGGCCTACTTGGCTGCAACCCTTTGTACATTGTGCAAACCATGGGATAATTCTTCAGTCCCTGAGAATAGTCATTGTTACAGCCTGGCTTTCTCACACTAACATTGTCCCACATCTGGCTGTTTTAGATTTACCAAACTCTTTTAACATTACCTTATTTAATTTCCTCAAGAATTTTTTAAGGAGATAGTATTTCTATTACCTAAATAAAGAAGCTTAGCTAGGTTGTAGTACACAGCTAGTAAGTGGCAAGGCCAGGCATCCAAGACCAAGCCTTCTGTTTCACATCCACTCCTGGCTCTACAGCATTAAGCTGCTCCTTTTTTCTTCCCCAGTGTAAACACAACAGCTGATTTGACCAATTCTCCTGCAAAAGCTTGTCCATGTTGGCTTCTCTTGAGAAAGTGACTTATTTCCCACTACAATATGACGACATTATTCGGAATGTCAATGCCATACTTTCCCTCGGGGGCTTTCCTCATTTTGGACTTGTAGCATTTCATTTTAGATGCTAAGTGTCCGCTTCAACTTAATCATTTATCCCGTTCATCTTTCATTCTTTTTCTGACACTAGATGAACAATTCCCTCCTCGTCCTGCCTGATGGAGTGGCATCTACACATTTGGCCAACAGAAGTGCAATACTTGATTTCAAGTCCCGTGGGACATCTCTCTTCTCTCCCATTACTGAGAGAAACCCTGGGTGAGGGTGTAAAACTGGGTAAGGCTATATCTGTAAATGCGCTAGAGCAGGAGTCAGCAAACTTTTTCTGTAAATGGCCCGAGAGTAAATATTTTAGGTTTTGCAAGCCCTATGGTCTCTGTCGTAACTACTCAATTCTGCCGTTATGGCAAAACAACAACAAAAACACACCACAGCCGTGGACAATACATATGCAAACCGGCATGGCCATGTTCCAAAACAGGTTAATTTGTGGCCACAAACATTTGAATTTCATATCATTTTACATTTTGCAAAATATTATTTTCGTTTTAATATATTTTCTGACCGCTTAAACATCTAAAAGCCATTTTTAGCTCATAGACTATACAAACACAGGCTAGATTTAGCAAGTTTTGTTAGCCCCAATGTAGACAGCAGTACTTATATTAATATACAGTGAGCTAGCTATATATCTGGTAATGGGTTGATATCCAAAATATATAAAGAACTCATACAACTCAATAGCAAAAATAAAAATAAATCAAAATCTGATTAAAGAGTGGGCACAGGAATTGAATAGGCATTTTTTCCAAAGACATACAAATAGCCAACAGGTAAGTGAAAAGGTGCTCAACATCAGTAATCATCAGGGAAGTTAAAATCAAAACCACAATGAGCTATCATCTCACACCTGTTAGAATGACTATCACCAAAAAGATAAGAGATCACAAGTGTTATCAAGGATGTGGAGAAAAGGGAATCCTGTACAACTGTTGGTAGGAATGTGAATTGGTGGAGCCACTGTGAAAAACAGTATGGAGTTTCCTCAAAAAAAATAAAAATAAGAATATTTTCATACTTCCACTTCTGAGTACTTGTCCTAAAGAATTGAAATAACGATCTCAAAGCAATAACTGAACCCCTATGTTCATTGAAGCATTACTTACAATAGCCAAGACATGGAAGCCACCTAAGTGTCCATAAATAAATAGATAAATGAAATGTGGTGTGTATACACACACACACACACACACAAAAAGAAATATAATTCAGCCATAAAAAGAAGGAAATTCTTCCATTTGTGACAACATTGATGGACCTTGAGGACATTATGCTAAGTGAGATAAAGACATACTGTATGATCTCATGTAGGTTTGCTAGCCCCCATGTAGAGACTGTTAACATAAAAAACACACATTCAAACCGTAAAGAATTTTTGTGAGTTTATTTGAGCCAACCTGTCGATAATTTCCTGGAAGCAGAACCTCAACAGATTCAGATAATGCTCCCAAGAATGGCAGGTTACACCTATTTTTATACATTGCAATCAAAGGAAGGGACGTAGGTGGGTTGGATGAAATCCATTGGTGATAGATTAGAGAGGCAGAAGAAAGCAAAGTGAGGAGGGGAGGGGGGACCCCTGGGATTAGATAAAAAGTAAAATGATAGACACATACTTAGGTGGGTGCAGGAACAATTAACATGATCATGAAGGAATTTGTGTTATCTGTCCTGGCACCCAGGCACATTAGGTTGTGCTCCAAGGGGTCCAGAAAAAGGGAAGTTACAAGTTACCCAGACATTTCAAGGATATGTTATTATAGATGCAAAAAGGCAGATAGGCTCAGTTAAAGTAAAGGTTGACCTTGTCAGTGAAGATACCGGTCTAGGACATAACTACCCACCATAACTGCTTTTAGTTAAAGTTTAAGACCATCCTTTGTGGTTACTTTAGGTCTCTGAGTTTGCAAGACCAGGCCTTCCCTGAGCTTGTCAGGTTAGCATGTGTCCCCTTTCATCCACAAGACCAATACTTATATTAACACTAGAGGCCCAGTGCACGAAATTCATGCATGGGCGGAGGTCCCCTCAGCCCAGCCTGCACCCCCTCCAATCCAGTACCTCTCGGGGGATGTCCGACTATTGGTTTAGACCCGATCCCGGGGATTGGACCTAAACCAATAGGACAGTTGGACATCCCTCTCACAATCCTGGACCGCTGGCTCCTAATCGCTCACCTGCCTGCCTGCCTGGTCGCCCTTAACTAACCACCCCCCCCCCCCACCAGCCTGATTGCCCCTCATTGCCTCTGCATGCCGGCCTGATTGCCCCTAACTGCCCCCTCCCTGCTGACCTGGTCACCTCTTACTGCCCCCCTTTCTGGCCTGGTCACCACCAACTGCTCCCCTCTGCCATTCTGGTTGCCCCCAACTGCCCCGCCCATGCCGGCCTGGTCACCCCTCATGGCCTCCCCGCCGGCCTGGTTGCCCCACGCAGCCCGATACTAGAAGCCCAGTGCACATTCATGCACTAGGGGTAGGGAGGGTCCCCTAGCCTGGCCTGTGCCCTCTCATAGTCCAGGACCCCTTGGGGGATGTCCACCTCCTGGCTTAACGAGGAAGTGGGCCTAAGCCAGCAGGTGGACATCCTCTGAGGGATCCTTAGTGCTGCCATGGAGGCAGGAGAGTCCCCCAACCACCGCTGTGCTCACCAGCCATGAGCCCGGCTTCCTGTGGGAGCACACTGACCACCAGAGGGCAGCTCCTTCATTGAGCATCTACCCCCTCGTGGTCAGTGTGCATCATAGTGTCCGGTCATTCACCATTAGATCGATTTGCATATTAGGGTTTTATTATATAGGATTGTGAGCTAGGGACAACTATAATTTATGCTCCTCCCTCTCAGTTTCCCAGGCAATAATGTCAATAGAATAAAATCCTAAGGCCCAGAGGTGGCAACTAATAAAAACACCTTTAATGAAATAAATTTCAAATTAAATCTGGAAACAACTGATCCCTTCAAGTTTGATTACAGATTGCTGTGGCAAAGTAAATTTATTTATTCATATGAGGTTCCAGATTTTCATATTTCCCTCTAAACTTTGGCTTTATGAAATGTTCACAGAAAAAATATGAAAAGATTTTTGATTCCATGCTAATAATAAATAGCTCCAGGCGGTGAGCGCCAGCCACTCCCTGTGTTGCCCTTGGCTCTGAAGTCTGACTGGCCCATTGACCTCTCCTTCCTGTCTTGGGTTATTTTCTTCCAGGTTGGAGGTTGTACCTGGTTTCTAGTTTGGTTACATGCTCCTGTGAGTTAAATAAATGATTTGGATTCAGGGCAGTGGGTTCTTGACAAACCCTTTTTCAAGAGGGATTTTAAACCTGCAGGATGAATTGGGGAGAAGGATAAAGAAATGGAAAAATTACCCATGACAGAAAAGTGGCCCCCGAAGACTACTGGCCTCATCAGGACTTTGGACCTGAAAACATTACACACTAGAAGACAAAAAAATTAGTATCCTGTGGGTTTAGCTATTTGGGTTTTAGCTATGAGGTCTGGACCATAGACAGTGGTCTGAACCCTCCTGGTTTTCCCAGGGCTGACTCCCGTGGCCTCCACTCCTTTGCCTCATCCCATCCTCCTCCT